TATAGCCGAGTCGCGATGCGTAATCGCGTACCTATCGTCTTCCTCGCGCGTTGTCTGTCGCGAGCGCATATAAACACATGTTCTCCGCGCGCGTTTGCTAGGGGGTGATTGCCCAGAGGGGGGAGGGTTGCTCGGCCACTGATATGTCTCTCGGTCGTGACAGAAATTAATTGCTCGCTCGTATACGCAGGCTGTCTCATCGCCGCTGGAAAATGCTGTTTCAATAGCGGGGCCTTCGACGAACCGCGGCATTCATCGCCCCGAATGCGTTTGATGAAGGGTCTAATTAATATTTGACCCGAGAGCACGCGTATTCCGCATATGACATGTACTGACGGCGATATTTTTCATACCGTCATATAGTGCGAGGGACACACGCAGGTATTAATTATTAAAAAGAGAATTCCAGGCCTTCGGATATAATGCTGCGGAATTTTAAATTATTTCTATGGGAATTTAAAAATATTTACGATTTTATTATCGGGATATTTAATTCCGAGAAAAATGGCGAATTTTCTGTTCGGCTTTCGTCAAACTTCCCGAGAGACCCGCCCCGATCGAGCGATGAAATGTATGAAAGCAAGAATTAATTAAATGTTTTCACAAGGGCCTTATTACTTAAAACTAATTAAAAATATAATCAAAACTTAGCTCTTTCACCTTCCCTTTGGATCTTTCTGTTTCATTAAATTACTTTACCTCGGGAATAAATGCCAATAACTGCAGAAGAAAAGATAAAACTTATTCACTTAAAGATATTTCAAAATTGTCTTCGAACTCAATCGTACCGCGATTTTAGCTCCGGAAACCGAACAATGGACACCGTCTTTTAACGGCATCTCACACGTCGGAAAGTTTTCTACGTCGGAAACGATCGCGTGAAAGTATCTGTAGAAGAAAGAAAAAAAAAGAGGACGTTCTTAAAGACTATCACAGAGGTGTTTCTCCGCGGGATCCAGTTACACATTGAGCATCTTTGAGCGTCTTCTTACGGGAGAACTAATGAAAAATTCCCTCGCGCTAAACAAAAACTCTTCATCCGCCTTATCGCGTCGTCGAAGCGGCTCTACGTAGTAATACGATAATACGGTAGAAGGTCCATTTCGTAACTCGCTGCATCGTGAAACCATAAATCCACGCGAAGAGCAACCCCCGTATCCCCCCCTCCCCCGCGCGCGCGCGCCGAGATCTTTCGTTTCCATGCACTGTTCTCTCGCGAGTTCTCCCTTTTCCTGCGTCCGCCAGCCAGTCCATATACCCTCCTCTCTCTCTCTCTCTCTCTCTCACACACTACACACACACACACACACACACACACACACACACACACACTC